AAAGGGTATTTTCTGCTATGAATCTAATCAAGAGTGATTTGCGCAACAAAATGAGTGATATCTGGTTGAATGACAATTTGGTGGTTTACGTGGAGAAAGCTGTTTTTAAACAAATTGAGAATGAAGCAATATTGCAACGTTTTCAAATTATGAGACTCCGTAGAATACAGTTGTCTAAGTTTACAGTTACAGAGTAACTGAGTAAGGTTGTATCATATTTTTTTTTTTTTTTTTTACTTTTTTGGGTTGTATCGAAGTATATTTTCATATGTATACGATTTTGACGTTTTAGTTCATTTACATATATATTGAATAACTTTTAATATTATGTAACCAAATTTTAATAAACGATCGAACAATTACGATTGTTGACAGTCAACGATCGTCGGTCAACGGTCAAACCGCCCTAGCTGAACTTGAATCCTGGATTCGCCATTGATAACAATGGTGTATGTAAATAACGGCTCTTTTTTTAGCCATTGATTAAATTTGTGATAAATATTCATTAGTTAGTTGGGAAAATTATTAAATTTATAACTATTAATCTTTAAATTATGAAAGAGATCATTGAATATATATAAGTGTGTGTTTATAGAGGAAGTGATTAAGCAAAAAATGAAGAATCTTATCTGTATTAGAGGAGGACATTTTTACCCAGAACCATCCGATCCAAATCAGAATTAGATCAAACCAAGTCTTAAAATAAAGAACCGAACAATTCTAGTTCACATGTTGGTTTTAGCTACAGATCCAAATTTTAATTCAATTCCAAATTTTTTTTTCTAATTTATTAATAAAATCATAATTTTATAAATTCATAAGTGTTTGAAATAAATTAATGTTATTCAGCGTCACTAGTGACAATTGCATGACATTAAATGATATATTCACTTAAATGCAATATTACAGAATTCATTTAATTGAACATATGAGGTGTAACCACCTAAACTGGTGCTAAATAATACTATTTTTCAGAATAGCTAAGGTAGTGGTTGGTTTGCATTTTCATTTTCCATTTTCATTTTCAAAACGATTTTTAGTTTTCCCCGAAAATGGCCCGTTTTGAGCGTTTTCAATATTTATAACTGAAAACGGCAAAAACGATAAAAAGTCATTTTGCGTTTTCAGTTATAAATTTTAACTCGTTTTCGAAAACGACGGATCAAACGCGTTTTTCGCGTTTTAAAAAACGGAAACGAAAAATGGGCCGAAAACGGCAAACCAACCACGGCCTAGTTTAAAGCTTATGACATAAAAGTGAAATAATAAGAAAATTTACACAACAATTTACAATTTAAATTTTATTTATGAAGCATAATAACATCCGACAAGAAGTCATGGTTCAGTGGGAAAAATTGGGACTGAACTGAACCAAAATCAATCAGTTCTAGTTCAGTCTGGTTTGTTTTTTCTTGTAGAACTAGTGGTTTCCACTTTGATAATTTCCAATGAGAATCAATTCGGTTCTCAATATATTCAAACTGAAGAATTCGATACTCGCTCATAATTTGTATGTTGTTTATACAACTGTGTACTAATTGGGGGTTCATCTACAAAGTCACACAAGCTTTAATCATGATAAAAATAGGACGACAAAACCAAGAAGTCTATTTTGGTCGACTCCGATTATTGAAAATAGATTTAAATAAGGTATTAATCAATTAGAAACAACATTTCTTTATTTCATATTCTAGATAGGTTTGCAGGACAATAAAATTAAGGGAAGTACTATGTGTACACAATGCATTACACCTCTTTCACATGGAGAGGGGTCCACGAATATTCTATTATACAATGTTTAACGTGACTAAATCTAACTTGAATTGTTTATTAAGCTCATCGTTGGAAGGGCACTAGGAGCAATACATGTAATGCAAGTAAAACTACATTATGCGTGACTATTTGTCGATCATTACCATAAATGAATAATGGAGACTGTGGCTAAATCTAACTTGAATTCATCGTGTTAGATAGGGCTTGTACGATAGTGATTATGATAATTGATTTTTTAACTATTAAAGAGAAAGGTCGGTCTAACTTGTAAGAAGTAAAAAATGATGGCTGTAATAGTGAAATAATGGTCAAAATATTGATTTTTGGGGGGTGAAAATTGCTACCAAATGGGGACCTAATACGAAAGCTTCAATCTGAATCGAGATTAGTAACATGGAGCTAGTGCAAGGGTTAAGACGTTAGACTCATAACAATTAGCCAACTTCTAAGAAAAGAACAAATTGGTGACAATAGCTAAGATAGATAACTTATCTTTAGAGGAGATAAAACGGTAATCATACACAACACGATCTTTATACAATACGCAGAACTGAATGAACTCTTAACAGTCTTTAATACAGACATCATCAAATTTCCATGAAGTAATGTATATAATTCAATTATATAGTTTCGCAACTTCTCTAAATCTTTGTTAATTTAAGTATCATAGTGTCTTCAAAGGCTCCTAGTGTTCATGGGAACCAGTTCCGACATTTGATAAATCTAATTCCATCCTTTCGGGTGACCTTATTTTGGCATCGACAATGTCTAGTCCATGATGCCTATTCATGATTTATGACAATTTCCCTCTCTTTTCCTTCATTATAAACACTTGCATGTCATCCCTTCCAGGTAAGAAAATTCACACTTGAGCTTGAGAAGAATTATCCACAGATCATGTTATTTGATTGCCAAATTCACAGATTTCAAAATTTACAGTTAGTCTGGAGTTGCTGATGAATTTGGATATAAAGATGCTTATCATAACAATTTACAAGTTGATGAGATTAAAGTTTGTTTCACTATTATATCTTTTCATGATCCATAATCTGAAAAATTCCGTAGGGTCAGCAGTGCAACTGTTTGATCATGAAAGAAGAATAATGGGAAAAGAAAGTAGCCTATCTACATCAGCACAGATAAAATCACATTGGCTGGCTGATATTTGTACAATACAAGAAAGGTAGTATCCATTAGTAGACTTCCACATTCCATTTCTCTCCTTTTTTCAACTGCTTTTTGTAATCTATCCAGTCAATACCTATAAAATCAGAACAAGAACAGATTATTGCCTAAGCTTTTATAGATGTCATTGCCCTAGAATGTGCAAAACAAAAAGCAACTGTTGAGCATAACTACTCTCTCCCGTTTTAACAGCTCACTAAGTTCACTCTCCATTTCTATTGTTATGCACCATACCTGTTTCACCCACCCGTAAAATTGTATGAAGTCAGGGTAGTGGCAAATGAACACCGACTAGAGATACTTACATATTGAGCATCCTAAACCGGAAAGGGAATGAGCAAAATTAATACCACACTGCTTTTCTTTTCGTATTATTCCTCCTAACGCTTCTAACTTAAGCATGGGAGATTATTATTTGTTTTGCGTAATGAGGCGACCAACTTCAGCGAAAATTGCATCAGCGCTACTATGGAAATATAGGGTACTAAAATTACCTTCTTTAGCAGCCAATGAACACATTATATCATCAATTCCCTTTTCCATGCCCTTGAGTCCACACATGTACACATATGTGTTGTCTTTCTTGAGCAATTCCCATAGTTCTTCAGCATATTGAGCCATCCGAGTCTGGATGTACATTTTCTCACCTTTCTCATTTGTTTGTTCTCTGCTAACGGCGAAGTCCAACCTAAAGTTATCCGGAAACTTTTCCTTCATTTTCTCAAATTCCTGCTCATCATTACCATATAATCAGTATAGCATTCTTTATAAGGAATAAGGATGACTATCACAGAGGAACTTATAAAAATTATCATGAAAATTGTTTATTCCTATACAATTTATACGACAAGGCGCTTCTCTTTTCTACTCCATTTTCAAGATCATGTTTGTGGCCTAAGATCACAGATTTAGACTCAGTTGTGGTTTTTATTTAGTTCTGCCACCAAGTGGTTTTAGCATGTAGTATAGATCTTGGAAATCAATAACGTTTACCTCTTTGTACAGCAGTGAGCTGCTCGTGGGAACACCCAAGAAAAGCCACGCCAAACCATTGAACTGCAACAAAAAGCCAGCGGATTTAAATTAACATTTTAACAAAGATCATCTTTGCATATATTAATGAAGAGATCTTAATGGATAAGGAACAACCTTGTAGTCTTCATGCTTCTCGAAGAACATTTTCCACAAGAATGAGCGGAAAGGGGCAATTCCAGTTCCAGTGCCAAGCTACAAATGGATAGATATATTCCATTTATAACCTATGGTAGAAATTCAATTTGCTGCTTTATAAAATAACATGATAAATATAATCAAGCATATAATTACCATAACTATGGTTGCATTAGGATCTATTGGCATAAGCATTTCTTTTCCAACAGGACCAGTTATCTGCACTTCAGCTCCAGGTTTCAGGTCACCTGGAATTCCGAGGATTTCAGGACACACTATGATACAGCCTTAAGCATTCTAGACTAAAATGACAAAATAGTTCTGAAACGAAGTTCAACCCAACTATAACTTTGGGCCTGCTTGAGAGGTGGTTTTTTTTTTTTTTTTTTTTTTTTTTTTTCTTTTTTCACTCATTTTGACTGTTTTTGGGTTGCACCGTTTATGAGAGGTGGGGAAAACCAGTCCCGTTAGTTTTTTTAGGCACTCGTATTGGGTGGTTTTTGGCCGTTTTCTAAGCCCCTGTTTGATCCCCATTAAATTACATTCTATTACATTCTATTTTTCTCTATCATATTTTTAACCATACAATCTTCCATAAAATAATATTACACGTAAATCGAAAAAAAATTCTTCCTTTTCAACCATTCAGTTTTTCAACAAAATACTATTCCCCCCATTTTCATTACCAAAAATGAGGGCCAAACAGGGGCAAATATTCTTTCAATTTAAACAATTATTGTACAAAACAAAAATTCAATTATACATAAAAAAATAATAATAATTATAAAAAAAAATTTTAAAAATTTCTTTTAAATATTTTTAAAAAAATACAACTAAAAATTTATTTTTAAGCAAAAAATTACTTTATAGCTAAAAAAATTTACTTATGACTAAAACTTACTTATAAGACAAAAAATCACAAATATGAAAATTTACAAGTAAAAAATTCACTTATATGTAAAAAGTTACTTACAAATACAAAACTTACCTATATGTTAAAAAAATTACTTATAAATTATAATTTTAATTATAAGTAAAATTTTCACTATTTAAGTTAAAAATTAACTCATACGTGAAAATTTACTTATAAGTAAATATCATGTATGAGTAAAAATATATATACAAAAAATTATAAATTGAAAATTTCACTAACTGGGATACTCGTTTGTTCTATATTATTTATTCATATGAATTGAATTGTTTTAAAAATAGTTACTTAAAAAAATCACCAAAATCGAACTCCTCATAAATGGCCAAAACCGATGCTTTAAGAAAACTCCGAAATTGGTACCCCAAAACTCCCAAGTAGGCCATAATATGGAAAATGATAGAATATGCACGTTTATGTTGTTGAAGACATAACTTAAATAAATAGTCCTCTCACTAACATTTAAAGCTTTTAAAGGAGGATGTTCAACATGGTATCGGAGCATTGAGAGGTGTTGAGCTCAAGCCTCGGCGTTGAAGAGATAATTAGATAAATAAGTTTGTAATATCTCTAATAGCTTAAACTTTTAGACAAGGTAATTCAACATAAACTTCATATCAATCTGTTAAGTTTCTACATATCTAAAATTGAGTTCTTACACAAGAAGTTTGAGCAAACTCCTTTAACAATTTCTCCTTGGTCATTGGTGTAAACAAGCCTTTTAACACACAAAGAGACCTACATGAAGATTTGTAGAAACAACTAAATGAATTCTTAACGGGCCAAAAAATCAACTGATAGTTTGTAATGCCTAAGTATACAAATTAACAGAAAACATACAGTCTTGGAATCTCCAAAATCTCCGATGGCACTGCTTGCGATCGAGTACAACCTCAGCTTGTGAGGCTTACCATTCTTGTCGATGCCGTCTGGAATCACCCCAATGGATTGGCCTTCTCTGTAAGGGATCTCTCCTGCTCTAGATCAGCACTTTATTAGTTCAAATACAGAGAAATAGAATCCATCAATACATGCAAATCCTGGAACAGACATTTCATCGAACAAAATATGATCAAGATGATGATGATGATGATGATGATGATGATAGAGCGGGTACTATAAAATGAAAATTTGACGCATATAATAATACCCTCAGTGGTGAAAACCATGTGCCAGGTTTCCCCTGGGGCATCATCGCCAGTGATCTTTGCGTTGAGAAGGCACCTGCCAATGTATGGTTCCTTGGGCCTGTACTTGTTGACCACTACACCTTCTTCCTGTTTCTTGGAAATCTTCCCAACCTTTGCAGGAGCCTCTGTGGTGACCTGGGCTCTGATCACCTTCCCACCACCAGACACATTTCTGTAGTACAATGGCACCTGAAAATTTAAGCCAAGTACCTTGTGAATTCTGAACAATTCCGTATAAAGATCCTATGGAAATGGTAATGGTAACCACACCTTGTTGAAGTTGATTATTTCCGGGGAAAAAATGGCGGTTCTGGTTGGAAGAGAAGTAGACTTGGAGGATGGAAGAGAGACTGCAGCACTTACTGCAGCAGCCATGGTTGAATCTTTCGTAAATACTAAAGAAAAAGATGATCAAATTATATGAAGTGATAGTGGAATCTTTTTTAGTGGTGAGTGATGAGCGGATTATGAATTGAGTGGACAAGACTACAAGGCCAATGCAGTGGCACTTGTGAGGATAAGGAAATTAGTAATTACATATGACTCAATTTTCAGCCTCAAGGATCTCTGTCTCTCTCTACACAGTAGAGTAGATATTGTTCAATAAAAATCAGTATTAGATTTTGGATTCACCACATACAGAAGATCTAAGTAAACAATGGACCATAACACTTTGGTTCAAGGTGAAATGGAAAACAAGTATTATCCTAAAAGAAATATTAAAATGTAGTCCTTTTAAAATGCCAGAGAATAAGTATCATGGAATAAGGTCAAAATCTGTACACTCAAAATCACCCATGAATCTCTTGCTGAGGACACCGTCTATCCTCCTAAATAAGAATATCCCTAAGGTCATATTCACTTTGGTCCGAGACCCAAGCCTAGGGCTGTGGTAAGACCTTCAGGTCCACAAGGACTCGTAGTCCTATAGATCTCACACGACTCCATAGGTGACCTAATCATCATATAGGTAAATACTTATATTCTCTCCATGTTTACTAATATAAGCATTGGAGGGATGATGAGGTCATACTTCAATATCTTTGTGTTTAGTACAAGGAAGCTCTGCTCGCAATTATCCTCGGGTTTACTCCGATGATCGAACTTGAGCTATCTCAAGTACGAAATATGGTAGCATTGGTGTGTATGACAAATTATCACTTTTCTAGTTTTCGTTCAGAACAAATCTTTCTTTCGTAGTCACCATCATCAAGATTTGCGTGAAAATTTACATTGCATCACATTGTTAGCACTTATTGACTTCTTTGATTTCTCATTGAGTGGGCAAACAGAGAGAGATTTATTGCGCTATTCCAAAATTTATGAGAGAGTTATATTAATGATTGTTTTGAACTTGTCATCATCTTCGCAACAGTTTGAACCGTAAGCTCTCTAATATTACTTGTTGAGAAAAAATATCATTAAACACAGCAAATTTGAAAGACACAATTATACGTGATTCAGCAAATGCTTACCACCAAATTTGAAACTTTATTACCGGATAAAATCTCACAATACAATGTTATCATCACTATCTAAACTTTTCCCTACACAAAACTATAACAATATTTTCCTCTCTCAACATCTTCCTACACAAAACTATAACATTGAATGTACACCCAAAGTCGGATCTGGGATTGAACCAAAAAAATTTTAAGCCAAAGTAATACAAAAAAAATTTAAAAAATTAGCCAAATTTCCCCGATGTAGAGACAATTGAAAAAGCCCTATAACAATCGGCTCATGGGAAAACTTCATATGGGTCCGATGTACTTTTATCTTCAACAAGCAGTCGTCCTTTCCTCATTGACTCTAAGCATCTTTCGTATGAAACGCTACGAAAAAAATTCTACATGAAATTTTTTTACATATAAAATTTCCTTTCTATACATAAAATTTTTCAGTGGACCTACGAGTATAATTTATAGGAAAATGCCATTTGTACAAAATTCTTCACAAAATCTGGCCAGATTACTCTCATGTGTGGGACCCACCGTGAATAAAAAATGGCCAAAAAATACCCCACTCATCCCCTTATGTGTGTGTTCTGACAGATTTCTGTATGAAACTTGTACAGACGGTAGGGTCCTAATTTATATAGTTCTTACTTTCTTCCTCAATGGCTGCCCAATTTATTCACTTTGTGCCTTGTGGCTTGTACTGTTCTAGCCGAATTGATGCATTAGTGTACTTATTTATAAGCACAAAACTCATCTCTAATTACCTTCCTTCCTCATTTTCTAAGGCGCCAACAATTCTATATTTGCTTAGATTCACCAACTAATATTGATTTGAATAATGCTATTCATAGTGAAGAGTAACGACAATCACCTTACGTCATATATCTAATAATTTATCATTTGATGCATAAAAAATAAAAAACTATCTTATTAATGTATCATATATAAAATATCATATGCATACAAATAGAACGACTACCGATGGTCTTTACTATATATAACATTACTCTATTGGTTTAGTTATGACTCTAGGAAACTTGATTTTATTTCAACTTTTTTATTTCGATTCATCCCTACAAAGATAGCTAAACATTATGTCATAATAGTTTAATTACATTATAAATAAAAACAAAAAAGTAAGAAATATCAAACATGCCCATGTTTGAGCCCCATTATTTATAAAAACAAATTTTAGAATAGTGATTATTTTAGAATTTGTGTTGTTGGAAAAAAAAAATGTGTAACATTATTTATTAAAAGAATGTGTTATTGAAAATGAGTTTGAAGAAAAAATGCATTATGGAAAGGAAAATACCATTTGTATACTCCAAACTGCACATCATGTTTGACACTTGCTTTGATGTAAAAATAATAATAATATAACAATGAATTAAGCTTAGTGTACTACTACTTTGACAGCTCACTCACACGAGTGAGTCCCACTTGTGTGATGTGTGAGGACATAAAAGCAGATGTACTTGTAGCGTAATTGAAAAAAATAATAATAAGCAGAGGAAAAACTATTATTTTCAAAATTGTCAAACTTGATGTACACCAAGCATAATTGAGACATCGAAATGGGATAAAATCTTTCGTGGGACAATCGCACTATGTAAAAGTGCGATCACCCTATCATGGTGCGCCATCTTGTCAAGTGCCCCCCCCCCCCTTCTCCAT